CAGAAGACAAGAAAAACCTCAGGGCCTACAGTGGGGACCAAAAATCCTCCCTTCCAGTGAAAAAAAGGATGAAGTGTGAGTGACACAGAGAATTGCACCCTTCAGAGGATTTGCATTTTGAGAAATGGCTCCAGCAAAAAGCAGTGCTTATCCTGCAAGTAGTCAGTTCCACAGGGACAGATACTGTGAACTCATCCCAGGGTCCGCCATACCTGAACAACACCTGTTACTTAAAAAGAGTGCAATGAAGCTGGGCTCGGTGGCTCAGCCTGTAATCCCACGCCTTGGGAGGCTGAGGTGAGTGGATTGCCCGAGCCCGTGGGTTCGAGACCCGCCTGGGCAACTTGGTGAGACCTCATCTCTACAATAAATCAAAAATTAGCCGGGTGTGGTAGCGCGCATCTGTAGTTCCAGCTACTTGGAAGGCTGAGGTGGAACGGCCACTGCGCTCCAGTCTGGGGCGACAGAATGAGACTCCAACTCAAAAAATAAATAAATGAATAAAAGAGTGCAACGAATAGGCATATTAATTTTTTTTAATTTAATTGTGGTAAAGACACTAAACATGAGTCCTATCCTCTTAAATTTTAAGTTTACCATACAATACAGTTGACTACAGGAGCACTATTGTACAACAGATCTCCAGAGCTTACTCTTGCTTGACAGACACTCACACCCATTGATTATATAAAGTATAAAGTAACATTTGAGAATAGAAGTAATGAACGCTCATGGTTAATGGTCAGAACAAATCATTTGAGGTTAGAAAGTCAGGATCCCTGGCAACTGCCCACTCGAATTTCTCTGAGTTCCTTCTTCCTGTTTGTTTTGGTTGTTCATGTGGGAACTCTTTCCTTGGATATCTGATGTTTGGTTCCGTATGCAGTAGTGAGGCATCAAAAGCTGACTGGAAGCTCTGGGGGCTTGGTTAGCTTCTTCTTCTCTGAGGAACCCACCTTAGGGTGATGGAGAGGGATATGGCTGTTCTGCAGGGGGTCCCCAAATGTCTTCTGAGCTTTGGTAGCTTGAGGTTTGGTAACTTTTCTCTTAGGCTAGTCAGTTTTCCTTGAGATAAACATTTCAATCCTCTGCTTAGGGCCCTGGGAGGCTAGTAGAGGGAAAGGCTGGTATATCTGAGCATTCCATATACAGACTTTAATTTAATTCTCCAGTCCTTTGTCTCAGTCTTCAGCCTATATCCTTCCCCCAACACCAGCCCCCACTCCACCCTCTGCTGGGTCTACACTCACTCTAGTTTGTCCCTGTATTTAATGGGGATGAAGAAAAAGATCTAGGGGTCCAACAGGTCACCCACACTTACTGTTGTCAGTTTTGGCCCACTTGGCAGCTTTCTGCTGACTCCTGCACCCTTGCAGGGTTTTTGGCATGAGTCCCTTTGATTCCCAGGGGCTTCCCCACCCGCAGTCTAAGATTTCAGCTTGTTTGGTTCTGCTAAGCCAGTTTCACTTGTTCATTCTGCTTTCATCATCCAAACACGTGTTGACGTCTCTCATTTATTTCAGTCCCCTCTTCTGTTTACTTTGTCTTACTGGGTTTATACCACTTTATTCCTTTAACTGCTACGTCAAGGGATTTCAGAAAAGAGTAAACATGTGTTCAATCTGCTATGGGCAATGGGCACACCTCAATTTTTTCCTTTTACAATATATTGAGGACATCTCTGTTTCTTTTTATTGGGATATAGAATTCTAGGCTCCAATGGGCCACATGTTAACCAGTTTTAGGTTTATACTATTTTAAGAAATGAAAAAATGAACATTATTATTGTACATCAATAATTATGTTTCAGTGCTGCTTTGTGTGGTTAAAAACTTTAAAAATCATGTGTAGAAATAAAGAAAGAAGGGGAAAAGAGAGGGAGAGAGAGAATGAGAGAAGGAGGGAACAGGAGGAAAGGAGCCCCGACAGAATGCCAGGCTTCTGAAGCAGGCAGGTGGGAGAGGGCTGGGGTGGGGGCGGTGGCATCTGAATGGCTGTACTTCAAGTCCTGGCCCACATTCACCACCGAGGCCGGACCCTCCCCTTCTAGTTCTGGTATCCACTAATGCCAACTGCCTTGGGCTCAAACCTGCTATTGGAAAGAGAAGCAGCTTCCCCTGGGATATGGTCCACTGGAAACAGGAAGCAGGCTGACATTTAGATGGGCAAAGCCAAGACCTGCATGACCAGAGAGGATTCAATGTGCCCTCTGTCCTCAGAGAGTGCCCACCACAGCCAGCGGCCACTAGCCCCACCCCTGCCTGGTATTCAGGACCATCGAAAGGAAGAACCTGGAAGTCTCCATCACAGTTCTGGCAGGTTTGAAAATCCCCTTCCCTTGGCTGCAACGTGGGGAGAATGGTTCCTGCTAACAGCAAGAGATTTTAAGTGGCAGTTTGCCCTTCTCACAACAACCAGCGATTCACAAAGCACTTGACATTGAGTTGTGAGGGCTACTGAAGAAATAGCCTTCAATAATCAACTCACCCCACAGATATTTATTGAGGCCTCTTCTTGACGCTGGCCCCTGGCTGTTGGGCACAGTAACGGACAGACAGACATGGCCCTGCTCTTGGGACTTCCAGTCTAGGGAGAGCAACACACGTTAAATACACAAGCTCACCAAATAAATAAATAATTGCAAGTCAGAATAAAGGCCAGGGAAGGGAAAAAAACTTGTCCTCTGCTTTGAGAGAGAGCAGCAGGAGTGACCTGCCATGGAGAGGAAAACAGTCAGGGGGAGGCCTCCTGAGGAGGTGACGGCAGCATGAGAAGGAGAAAGAAAACATACTCCAGGCAGAGGGGGCAGGCTGTGCCAAGACCTTGAGGTGGGGAAGGTCTTGACACACTCGTGTTCATGAAACAGGACTGGAGTACTCAGGGCGTACTGAGCAGAATGTGGCTGGAAGGCGGGTGGAAACTGGCTGACTGTCTTCTCCTACGATCCTCGTGGTCACTCTCCATACTTCCCTTCTGACACCAGAGGCACGGGAGCTTCTCCCACATGCCAGGCAATTCTCCAGCAGACTTCAACAGGGTGTCCTATAATTTAATTCAACTCCAACACCATCTTCCAGGAGTTAAAGTCAGATCCCACAGGTTGAAGGCTCAGCCTACAAGACCTCTCCCACTTTGGATGTCCCGGGTTGTGACCTGTGCATCTGACCAGCCAGAATTGAGGTTCCTGCAACCCCCTCCTCAGGTTCGATAATTTGTTAGGACTGCTCACCAAAACCCAGGGAAACACTTCACTTATTCTTTGTAAAGCATATTACAAATGATACAGATGAACAATGGGAGAGCTGCATTGGGTGAGGCATATGGGAAGGTGCACGGTGCTTCCATGCCCTCTCTGGGGCACACAACATCCTAGACACCTCCATGATTCAGCAACCCGGAAGCTCTTCAGCCCTGTAGTTTGTGGATTTTTATGGAGGCTTCCTCATTTAAGCATGATCAATTATTAACTCAATCTTTATCCCCTCCCTTCTTCTCTGAGGATAGCGGGTGGAACTAAATGCTTCAAGCTTCTAGCCATGGCATGGTCTTTCTGGTGACCAGTCCCTCTCCAGGAGCCCACCAAGAGTCATCTTACCAGAACAAAAGACACTCCTAGTACCCAGGAAATTCCAAGTGATTAGAAGGGTCAAAGACAAAATAATCAGAACAAAAGACGCACCTAGAACCCCTGTCACTCAAGACGCTTCAAGGGTTTTGAGATGTCTGTGCCAGAAATGGGGGGCAGAGACCAAATATATATTTATTCTGCTGGGTTTTTTGTTTGCTTGTTTGTTTTTGAGCCGAGGTCTCACTCTGTTGCCCAGGCTGGAGTGCAGTGGCATCACCCCAGCTCACTGCAGCTTCGATCTCCTGGAATCAAGGGATCCTTCCACCTCAGTCTCCCCAGTAGCTAGGACTACAGGGTGCACCACCACATCCAGCTAATTTTTTTGTAGAGATGAGATCTCAGTATGTTGTCCAAGCTGGTCTCAAACTCCTGGGCTCAAGCGATCCTTCTGCCTCGGCCTCCCAAAGTGCTGGGATTACTGGTGTGAGCCACCATGTCCAGCCTTTTATAGCCTTGGCCAATTCTATGAATCAGACATTTTCCTAATTTCTATTTCTAATGGGTTATTGCTAATATGGAGAAAAGCTATTAATTTTTGTATATTTACTTTAAATCCAGCTATCTTACCAAACTGTTATTATTGCTGGTCCTAGAGTCTAGAAAACCTAGGCATTCAAATCTATCTACAATTATTGGCAATTATATTATTCATTTATGGACCAGATTCTGCCCTAGAGCCTTGGGAGAAAGGGTGGCTCTGCTAACACCTTGATTTGAGGCTTCCGTCCTCCAGACCTATGAGAGAACACATTTCTGCTGTTTAAGTCACCCAGTTTGTGGCTATTTGTTACAGCAGCCCTAGGAAATGAGTAAAGGTGGCTGTGATTTTTTCATAAAAAACAGACAAGTAAAAACTATTACCAAATTCACAGTCACTATTTATCGTTGTAAATTTCTCTCAATGAACATAAAAAGATTACTATTATGTGGGTATAATACATATATATCTGTCATGAAAAATGCATTATATTTGCAACCCCATTATCTTACAGATGGGAAGACTGAATTCGAGAGAGGGCAGTGAAGAAGCGAGGGAGCTGGTCTGGAGTCAGCTGCCTTGACTCGTGAGTCATTTCTCTTCCTCCAAAGCTTCATTTAATCTGGGGCTGCTCCTGGCCCTCCCCACCCACTCAAAGAACTTCCGAGTCATGCTCCTCCAGCAGGAAGTTCAGAGACACTTCCTGTTTTCCTTGCTCTGCCTCCTGGTTTGGCAACACTGAGAGCCCCGTTTTCACCTTGTGATTGTTCCAGAGAAGCAAGAATTGCTAAAGGCCATTGTGTCAAGTTTGCCCAATCCGTGCTACTTGACATCTTACCCCTCCCCATCCCACCCCCAGCCCCCCTCTTCCCTCTGTCCCCCTGGTTTCAAAATTCCTGGCCAGGGTGGGACAGGGCAACCAGATAAGAGCAGGGCAGGACCTGAAAAGGTGGTTTGCGTGGGGCTGGAGCCTGCCACTGAGCCAGCAGCATGGCGTGGTCCGTGGCCTGGACAAGTGAGTGGGCACTGGTAGGGAGAGTGGGCCGAACCCTGGGAGCTGTGGGGAGTGGGATGTGCATGTTTGTGGCCCTTACTGCAGTTTGCCATTCCATCCCTCCCCTGCCTCCTGGCTTGATTGATTACCTTTTCTGTGGGTTGCTTGTGGGCTCTTTCAGCCCAAGGGCCTTTGTGTTGCAAGGAAAGGCTTTTCTCAACAGGCTGAGGATGACTTTCCTTTTTCTTTTCTAAAAGCCCAGTCAATAAGACCTCTGCATTGAGTCTTTTTGTCTTCCCCATGTTCTTAGGTCTTTACTTTTGGCCTTATCTAAGAAGTACCCACTGCCAAGAGGTTTCTCCCCAACCCCATGTTGGTTATCCTGCAGGGGGGCAGCCCGGGGGCCACGACGCTGGCTGTCCTTGCTAATTTTCATGCAGGCTGTATTAGGATAACAATAATAATCGAGGGTCCCCAGGTGGAAGAAATCTCTTTGAAGGAGTTCTACTGAGACCTAGGTCTCCAAGGATGTTGGTAGCACAGCCAGGCAGTAGGAACGCTGCAGGAAGTCTTTATGAGGGCGAAGACAGCACAGGTGTGGGACCCTCACCAGAAGATGGGATCCCTCCATCTAGCCCTTTCAGAGCTGTTCTTTCTAGCCCCAGGTTGGGTTTTCTTCTTGCCCCAAAGAGAAGCTTTCTGTCTGAATAACTCACAAGTCAGTTTTTCCACAATCTTCCTAAATCCACACCACCTTCTACTGAGGCCCTAGAGAGAGTGATGCCTCAGCCCATGAATCTTTCCATCGGTTCCTGGGGCCAGCCCAGGCTGGGAAGGGGCTCCTGCTGTGTGGCCTGGGTGAAAGGATAGACACAGTGCCCTTCGGGTCCCTTCTGGAAGGAGAAAACTTGATTTTATGAAATCAGCCCTCCTTGACCACCCGCAGCTCCTGCACTTCCATAGGCTGTGGGCCTGGGAAGATGACCGGGACGTCATGCGTAACCAGATCTTCTCTCTCTCTCGTTGCTTCAGGTTTCATGGTTCTGCTGATGATCCAATGGGGTAAGTGGCATCTCTCTTGAAGATAGCCCTTGGCTCCTCAGCTCCTTCCCTGGGCTCTGCTACATTCCCCCACATCCCTCCCTGACCCTCAACCCCACACACACCTAGAGCTCTTGCCAGATTTCAGCGGGGACTCTCCTCCAAAGCTCAGCTCCTTGTAAGTGTCTTTGACCCCTTAGCAGCCCTGCTGTTCCTTCTCCCAGGAAGGTTCCTGCCCCTTATCTACCAGCTGAGCTCCTGCACATCCGCAGAGCCAGCTTTCATGTCAGCATCTCTCAGGTCTTCCCCGAGAGCACCTACTCCCACCTCTGGGTCCTCGCAGCACCTGAGTGCATTTTACAGTATTAGACAATCATGACTGGTGTAGGTGTCTCCTCCCACTAGACTCTGAGCTACTGAGGTGAGGAACCTAAATCTTATCCAGCTCTTTGTCCCCAGCCGCTCAGCTCAGCAAGGACCCACTTGCTCTTGTGTCTGTTGAACTGACTGGATGGGAACTTGAGAGAGGTGGGGGGGCTCCTTCTTATGAAAATGGAACTCTCTGAAAAGAGATCTCTGGGGCTCTTCAGCAACTCAGATCCCTGGGTCCCCCTCCCATCCTACCCCACTCCCTGGGCATCAGCACCCCTGGGAATGCCGACTCCTCAGACCCCGGTCCTGTGGCTGCTCCCCTTCTTTCTGGGCTGTGGCACTGGACGTACATTTCCCCTCTTGGTCTCACAGAAAGGAAGAACAGGGACCACAGAAATAGCAAGTGTGGGAAAGACGGAAGGGTTGACAATTTCTCAGAAGTTCTTAGTGCAGGCCGCTTCTGGGCTTCACTGAAGTATGGTAACCATAATAGGACTTTGCATGGACTAAGGATAAGTGTACAAGCACGTAGGACAGAGCTATACTGAGTAACATTTTTCTAAGTGTTTTATGAATATGAACTTTTAGCCCACACATCATGTGAGGTGCAACTTCACAGAGGAGGAAGCCAAGCTACACAGCTGGTAAGCTACAGAGCTGGGATTTCAACCCAGGCACCAATGTCTGGAGTCCCTGCTTTATTTTCTCCATAGTACAAAAATCCATGCACAGTATTTAATATGTTACAACATGGTATGATAAAGAGCCTCATGGCTCCTTCCTAGATGGTCAGGGATGTGTTCTCTGGGTCAGTCCCCTCCTTTCTCCTTTTGCTTTGGCGAGTTCACCGATCCGCCTGCATCACGACACTCCCAGCCCCACCAGCAAGCTCCATTTCTAGGTGCCCTCTGGTCAAGGTCAGTGACTATGCATGTACCCAGGTTTAGCCCTTTGCACTCCTGGGTTCCAGTTGAGGTCTGCCTGAGCTTTCTCTTCCTGAAACCCTCCTATAGCAACTTGGGCACCCTTCTACCTCTGTCACCCTCTCCCTGGCCCTGTGGGGGCTGGAGGAAGAGCAGAGAGACCCTCCCTGTCTGGGCAAAGGAAGCCAGCCACAGATATGCTCCAGCCCAAGCTCACCATTCCACCAAGACCCTGGTGTAAAATGTCAGCCTGTACAAACCACATCATGACAGAATGGCAGACTGGAAGAGACCCCAGAGACCACACAGTCATTTTCGGATGGGGCTGGGACTAAGAAGAGATGGGCCCAAAGTCTGTTTTTGGCAGATGCGAAAATGGAGGCTAGTATTTTTGCTTCCTTGAGTCCTGGTCAACCCAGCACAGGTCTGACTTCAGCAGGAGCCATCACCACCAGACCCTCCCTCACACACTGTAGGGGGCGCCAGAGACAAGCGGCCTTTTTCTAGATAAAGCTCTTAGAATCTTAGCAGTGATATTGATAAACATAGATTCTCTACAAGGGATAACAAGTAAATGCAAATTGCTTTAATGCAACACTAAAGAAAACATAAACTAGGGCCTGTAACTGGGACCTTTTCTCTGCTACTTCTCTATTTGCATTTTAATTAACATTCTGAAGTATTCTAAGCCATGTTTCAGAAGTTCTGCCTCCCTTCCTTCAACAGATGGGCATGCCATGTGTAATTCTCTCTGGGCCTTATGTCAGGCTGCCTGGGACTGCCTTCTCTGAGGTCCAGAGCCTGGAGAGGAGAGTCTATCCCCTGGGGGTTAGGGCTCTGAGCCCAGCAACTTTCAAGGATGTCAAGGGGTCAGAAGACTTGGGACCTAGCCCCTCTGCTCTGCCCTCGTAGCAGCTGTGCTTACTGGGACAGGTCCCAAGCTGGTGGGCCTCAGTTTTCTTATTAATAAAATGAGGATTGTGACAATGGTCCTGCCCACTCACGGGTGCTCTGAGGACCCCATAGCTGGCCTCTGAAAATGCTTTCCTAACTGCGAGGTTCTATCCAAACAAAAGCAAATACCATTTCTGGCTGTCAGGTCTCTGACTTATTCCAGGTGTATAGATGGTCACTAAGGGCACCACCTGCCTGAGAGATGCAGGGCACCAGTCCCCAGAAGGCCCTTCTGACAGCCATTTCTGTCTTTGTCCCAATGGGCCAGGCTCTGCTACAAAACTGGTCTGCTACTTCACCAACTGGGCTCAGTACAGACAAGAGGCGGCTCGCTTCCTGCCCAAGGATGTGGACCCCAACCTTTGCACCCACCTCATCTACGCCTTTGCCGGCATGAACAATCACCAACTCAACACCATCGAGTGGAATGATGAGGTTCTCTACCAGGAGTTCAACGGCCTGAAGAGGACGTGAGCCACAGTAGAGGAAGGGGGACGGGAAATGGAGGGGACACGTGTCTCCTCTCAGCCTGAAGCTTTCCCCAGTGCACAGTATTGCCACAGACCCACTGTGTGGCTTGGGGCAAGTTGTATCACCTCTCTGTGCTTAATGAAAGAGGTGGGGGTAGACTGAGAGATCCTAAAGGGCTCTCCTCGTTTAGGTCTACAAGGGATCAGGATAGTGAGATTCATTCTGTTTCCCAAGATGCTCTTTTTCATTCTGAGATCCATTCATCCTTCAACTCAAGCCGCCTTCACAAGGCCTCTTAAGACCCGCCCTAACGGCTTGCTTCCTGAATCTCTTATGTTTGCACACACAGAGGTGTCTCCTTAGTGAGACAGGAGGTCCTTGAAGTCAGGAACATGTATTTTTTTTCCCCACCTACAGCTGTCTCCAGAGTCTGGACACTGGTCCTGCACATAGGCATTTTTATACACCCTCAGCCCTATTCCCTACTCACCCCACTATCCCATCAAGGAGCCCTGGGAGCTGACAGGGTAAATGCTGGCATGGCTCTTGTCTTCCCCAGGAATCCCAAGCTGAAGACTCTGTTAGCCATCGGGGGCTGGAACTTCGGCACTCAGAAGTGAGTTGACTGTGTGCAGCTGGGTAGTAGGGCCCTTGAATGGGGACCGGGTACAGTGGCCAGAGAGAGCCCTGGTAGGGGAGTTGGGGCCAGGCTGAGGTGTGGTGGGGTGAAGGGAACTGAACTCTGGGGACTGGCTTTCCTTCTGGGTTCTTGGTGCCCCATCAGGAAGACAGTGCAGGGCAGTGCAGTGGGCTTAGCTCCAGGCTCTTGTAGATCCAGTCTTGCCAGAAGTACAAGCTCTATACACAACTCAGAGAGCTCTGACCTTCCCAGGCCTCTGTCTCTTCCTCTATGAAATGGGAAGAGGGAAGGTCTTCACTAACCCTAGATAATATATAGTGTCTACGTTTCCTGAACTCTAAAGGAGGACATACTATCTGAGAAATAATTTTTGTTCCACTCCTGGGTGTAAAATGTAGCCTGTGAGATTGAACTTGGATGCCAAAATATTGGTATTTCTGGAACACTTTTGATAATTTACGGAGATAATGGAATAGAGTATTTGGAACTATGTGCTTCCTAGAAACTCCAGAATATATGGTTCCCAAAGCTCTAAACAGTCTTTTTAAACCTTTTTTGGAACATGAACCCTTCTGAGAATCTGAAAGCTGTGACTCATCTTCTTAAAATAATGCTCATATACAGATTTTGTATTGAAATGCAGAGGTTTCTAGCCTGATGTTCCCAAGTATGTGGGCCCCACTTAAGAACTATTGCTATTAATTAAATTATAAGTTAATAAGATCAGTTTATAAAGAACTTAAGACATACCCCCCCACCCTCACCCCAGAAGTCCAGGGCTTCTTATATGGCCACTGAGGAAGGGAGACGGGGAGAGGTGGCTCCTGGGGCAGCTTGGGGCTTTGAAGAGCTCTGGGCTGGTAACAGAAATAATAGCACACAGCACTCTACAAATGTGAGTCTGGGGAAAGAGGACCAGGTTAACCTGACAGGAAACTAAAGTAGCGAGCTCCCAGGTCACCCAGATCTTTGCTGACCTTGCTGTCATCCTCTTATTGTTTAAAACCTCCATGCCAGGGGTGGAGGCCTGAAGGCTATGTCTGATTCAGGGTGGGACAATTCAGGGACATGGTTGTAAGCTTCTGGAAGGAATTTTGGGAAGCATGGCTCCTAGGGAGTCAGTGGGCTCCTGGTGATGCCAATGTTTGGGCATGGAAAGTGCTTCTTATCCAGGCCAGTAACTCACTAGCCAGTATCCCAGCAACCTCTGAAGCAGCCCTCTCAGTGCCACTCCTGGTCTAGGCACAGGAAAGCCGATATTGCGAGTGATTTCTCGCTTGCCTCTGAGCAAGAGTGTGGCCTCTCGCCCGTCCAAGGCAGAACCATATGCCTTTTTATCACTTCACAGGTTCACTGATATGGTGGCCTCGGCCAACAATCGTCAGATCTTTGTCAACTCAGCCATCAAGTTTCTGCGCAAATATGGCTTTGATGGCCTTGACCTTGACTGGGAGTATCCAGGAAGCCGGGGGAGCCCTGCCATAGATAAGGAGCATTTCACAGCCCTGGTGCAGGTATGGCCAGGAGGAGTAGGGATCGCACAGCTCTGGTGCCAAGGGATCCAGAGCTGTGAACCCACAACACCCATGGGGGTGCTCTGCCCCCAGGGACAGCTGCTTCATACATTTGTACTGCACAGATCAGCCCTGTGGTCAGTTTTCAGACTCCCAAGAGTGAACGTCTACTTGGGACCTCACAGAGGCCTGCCTGGCGCCTGACTCTGTGTTTACTCTGAATTGCCCCCACAGGACTTGGCCAGCGCTTTCCAGCAGGAAGCCCAGTCCTCAAAGAAGGAACGACTCCTCTTGAGTGCAGCTGTCCCAGCTGGGCGAGGCTCCGTGGAGGCTGGATATGAGGTGGACAAAATTGCCCAGTGAGTTGTCTCAGGCAGATTTCCCGCACTCGTGCTCTCTCAGGTGGGAGAGGCCAGGGGCAGGCTGAGCTTCCCCAGGAGTAGAGCAGGCGTTCACCTGCAAGGCACCTTTGGGAAAGCCCCGCCCCACAACCAGCAAATCCTGGAAGGGTTTGCCCACTGTGAGTGCCACGCTGCTGGTTCAGATCCTTCTTTTGGGATCTTTGCCTTCTTCTCTGAGAACTAACTCTTAAAGTGAAAACACCCCTGGTAGGGGGATTGGTGGGTGGGGGAGTGAAGTCTCTCACATCTCCAAGAGAATGGGTTATCTAGCTCCTTGCTTCTCCAAGTTTGGTGTGTAGACCCGCAGCCTCCACACCCCTGGGTACTTGTTAGAAATGCAGACTCTTAGGACCCACTGTAGGTCGACTGAATAAGAGCCTTCATTTGGATGAGATTCCCCAGGTAACGTGTGTGCACACTACAGCTGGAGACGCACCTCGCTGAGGTTCCTCCAACACACCTGGAGAGCAGGTTTGCTGAGTAGAAAAGAAAGGGTCTGGGGGTGCTGAGGCAAGGCTGCCCAAGACATGAGTGCCAGCCTCAGTTTGAATGGCAACGGCCTCCAAAGGCAGCTGGCTGGGAGAGCTGTCTGTCACCTTCTTCAGAGCCACAGGCCAGCCTGCCACTCCAGCCTCTGACCCTAGGGGTCGCTCCCTGGGCCATGCCCTGTAAGAGGCAGGAGCAAGGAAGGAGGGGTCCCTCCGGTCACTTGCTCCTCATCCCCTCTTCTATACCTCCTGCAGGAGCCTGGATTTCATCAACCTTATGGCCTATGACTTTCATGGCTCTTGGGAGAGAGTCACAGGACATAACAGCCCTCTTTACAAGGGGCAGGGAGAGAGCGGTGCAGAGGCTGAACTCAACGTGGTGAGTGGCTGGAGGGGTGGGGCAGGACTGCCCTATCCAGTAAGCCCTGTCCAGTGGTCTCTTCTCTGTTGCAAGTTAGGAAAAGTCACCCCTCTGGTGAGAAGCAAGCCCTAGACACACAGTGTGGTGAGTAGAAGGCTTCTTATTTATAGGAAGAAGGCCCCCCTTCCTCAGTGCATTCAAGGCACTCAGCATGGCGAGCATAGGCTGGGAGCTCCTCAGCGGCAGAGCTTCCTCCAAAACCCACACCATTTTCTACACAGGGGTGGAGAGATCAGGCTCTGCGTGCAATATAGATGTCTGACTCACTGGCCCAAAGAGATGCACTTTATTAGTGAAGGAGCCAGAAAGTATAAAATGTTCCACTCTAGCTGACTTAGAGATATGGGCTCCTCCAAAATAAAAAGCATTTTAATTTAGGGCTTGTTGTTGTTTGCTTTAAGAGAGTAAAACAATATGGTCATTCCTGACTTTTAAATTATAGAGAGAGCTTATAAAAGGAATATATAGAATGGACATGATGGCTCATGATTGTAATCCCAGTACTCTGGGAGGCCAAGACAGGAGAATTGCTTGAGGCCAGGAGTTTGAGACCAGCCTGGGCAACATAGTGAGATTCCTCCCGTCTCTGCAACAACAACAACAACAACAACAAAAATCCAGGTGTGGTAGTGCATGCTTGTAGTCTCAGTTACTCAGAAGGCTGAGGCAGGAGGACTGCTTGAACCCAGGAGGATGAGGCTGCAGTGAGCTGTGATCACACCACTGCACTCGAACCTGGGGAATAGAGCAACTGCCGTATATAAAGTTAGGAGAGGCCCTGACTTCTGCCCTCAGGAAGGTTCAGTCTGATCAAAGATAAATGATGTCGACTGACAGAAAGAAATAAATGTAAATAGAAATAGTGAAAACTGTTCTTTACCTAAGTGCTAAGTGTGCTCAGAGTAACTCGACCTGACAAAACTAGGGTAACTGTGTGGGCAAAGTGAGCCATATTCCTGACCTGAGGAAAGAAACTTCATTAGTCATTTATCCAACATAAATACTACCTTGTGTCACAGGCCTGGGGGTTTACATCACGTAATATGTGATTGAAGCAGGTAAGGAAGCCTTTGTTCTATTTGAGCATCTACGTGTCTGACATTGTTCTAGGCATTGGGAATACAGAGAGAGATAAGATGGACCCAATTCCCTGCACTTATACTTGGGGTGAAACTTAAACAATAGCAATAATGATGATGATCATAGCTACCTTGCATTTCACTGGGCTAGACCTTTTTTTGAGTTGGAGTCTCACTCTGTCACCCACACTGGAGTGCAGTGGCACAATCATGGTTCACTACAACCTCAACGTCCTAGGCTCAGGCAATCCTCCTGCCCGGCTAATGTTTTTTATTTGTTGTAGAGACAAGTCTTGCCATGTTGCCCAGGCTCATCTTCAACTCCTGGGCTCAGGCACTCCTCTCACCTTGGCTTCCCAAAGTACTGGGATTACAGGTGTGAGCCACCGTGCCTAGCCACACTGTGCTAGACTTTATACACTCCTCATGCCCTTAGAGAGAGAGATTTTCATTATTTCCATTTTACAGACAGGAAGCCTGAGGCTCAGTGAGGTTGAATAAGTTGCTGAGTAAGGGATCTATGTCTGCTTTGTTCACGGGTACATCTGAAGCATCTGGGATAGTGCCTGGCAGACAGTGGGGCGGCAGTACATGTTGTTAAGTGAGTGGTCATCTGATTCCAAAGCTTGTGCTCTTTGGTTATCATGCCTTGCAGCTTCTTCACTGGGGCCGAGGGTCTAAGACAGGCTGTAGAGAAGATGGGGCAGGGCTGGAATACTAATAGGGGTCCTTGAAGCTCCAGCTGAGGGGTCCCTGCCTTCTTCGCTCTGTCTCTGGGTCCCCTGGAATTAGACAGCAGAGAAAATCAATCCTGTCTCCTTCTCCACTGCCAGGACGCTGCTGTGCAACTGTGGCTGCAGAAAGGGGCCCCTGCCAACAAACTGATCCTTGGCATGCCCACCTATGGACGATCCTTCACTCTGGCCTCCTCGTCAGACACCAGAGTGGGGGCCCCAGCCACAGGGTCTGGTACCCCTGGCCCCTTCACCAAGGAGGGAGGAATTCTGGCTTACTATGAGGTAGGAAAATCCATAGCCACCCTGGGTATTATGGAGGGTAGGGGCTGCCTGGGAGGGAGAGATTCCTTCTCCCACCATTTCTGAGTGAGGATGCAAGGCTCAGAATTCTGGTCAGGGGAATTCCTTCCCACCGGTGTCATCTTGCATTTATTCTTTAGGTTATACTGAGTCCAGTCTTCTAAGTCACTCAGTGCAGAATCTACAAGATTCTGCAGGCTTCCTCAGACAGGAATTTTCCAAGCTCTAGTCCCCTCCTGGCAGGGAGGGGCAGTACCTGCTGGAGCCTTCCTCCTCCTCCCCAGTGCCGCCCTCTGCTCCCACAGATCTGCTCCTGGAAAGGAGCCACTGAGCACAGAATCCAGGACCAGAAGGTGCCCTACCTCTTCCGGGACAACCAGTGGGTGGGCTTTGATGATGTGGAAAGCTTCAAAGCTAAGGTGAGGCCCAGCCCTGCTGGGAGGGGAGTGGTCCTGGGCAGCCTGGGCCTGTCGATGATGTGGAATGAGGGCATCCAGGACCCCCTCAGGTGAGTATCATTTTAAATGTCCCAACACTTCACAAATCTCCGTATGATAACATTTTTTGTCTCTACTACCTATTGACTAAAAAAAGACATTGAAAGGATTTGTATTTTACCAAATACTGCACAAATTCTACAGACACATTAAGAGGAGAAATACATATGGTGAAGCCTATGGTTTTGTTCACCCCATTGGCAGTATTTCGTGCCTGTTCAGATTATAGACCCGTTGATTGACTTATAGGATCCCCTCCCCTCCTGTCCAATACTGGTGCCCGAAGATTTAGTGCATTTATCTGTGTCCATGCCACTGTCCTCCGTGAGGTCCTTAGCTCCTGTTAAGGGATGTTGTACCTGTTCCTCCATACCTTCCACATCAGTTATCAAGTGTGGCTGACAGTGGTGGGTTTTTCTAGAGATGGAGACACAGTGCTCTGGGAGAACCAAAGGGAGAGCGTGATCTTGGCACGGGGAGATGGGAGTTTCAGAGAAGTCTGAAAGCATAGAAGGTGGGCAAAGACATATCAGGGAAGAAAGTGCAAGACGGACTCTGAGACAAAGTGTAGGCCCATGTAGCTAGACCCCTGAATGGGGTGGGTATAGAAAGGAAGGTAGGTGAGACTGGGGTCAGCAAGGGGCCCAGACCACTCTGCCCTCCAGTTGCCAGTCCCACTCCAAGCACGAGCGCTATGGCCTTCTGCAAGATTAGGGGATGGAGAAGCCCAGTCTGAGGGAACCCACAGCCATACCCTGCGGAAACCTCAGGAATCTGGTGGGGGAAGGAGGCTCTCAGGGAGGACAAAGACGTGAAGACAGAAGTAAAACTTGATTCAGATCTTTTGGGAAACTTAGTTGCTCCCTATGGTAACTGAACTTGACCAGCAGATAATACCTCAAATAAAGCAGCTCAGCCTAGAAATGACCCAGATGTGAAGGCACCCAGTTAGGGAGAGGCACACACTCCACATGATTTCTCCCCCTCCCCCGCTCCCACCCCAGGCCATGCTTATGTCAGCAAGGGGACTACACATGGCTGATGGCCAGCTGGGATCAGGACTCAGCCATGCAGGCTCCCTGTCCAGGGCTCTCTGCAGAAGCTCCAACTGCCCACAGGCCTGTCCACACAAGGAAGTCAGGCTCACCCGGGGTCCTCGACTGCATCTCCTCCCTGTGTAGGTCAGTTACCTGAAGCAGAAGGGACTGGGCGGGGCCATGGTCTGGACCCTGGACTTGGACGACTTCGCTGGCGTCTCCTGCAGCCAGGGCCGCTACCCGCTCATCCAGACGCTGCGGCGGGAGCTGAGTGAGTCAGGGGCCAGAACCTAGGGGTGGGATTTGGAGATGGGGTACAGACACACCCCAGCCCCCAACAAGCCATAGGTCTTGGGTCCTTCTGAGGAAATAATTTTGCCCCAATACTGTAATTTCCCAAGTTTCATGCACCCCCATGAGCTAAGGAAACTGTGGAAACCCTCCTCCTTCCACGCTCTTCTCTTCCTGGCTGTAGCAATGTCTGCCAGGGTGTTGTAAGCATGGCTTCCCCCTCCAGAGGGTCCTCGGCCTGGGTGCAGCAGCTTGCTCCATCTAGCAGGGAGAAAGCTGACATGCAGCCTGCGATGTGGGTCCCCTAGCTCCCTTCGCGTTTGTGGTTGGGTTTGCGGGTGGTACATGGCCATCAGCTGCCTGTTAGATGTGTAACCAGGTGTCCGTGGCACTGTGTTCCTGCTGTTGTGGCTGTTGTCTGGCTGTGCTCTGCCGGGCACAGGGTGTTGGGCTGCCTGTGGCTGCTGTCTGTGTGCTTGGCCTGAGGGTTTAGGAGCCCTTGGGAAGGTTTGGTTGAATCTTCAGTGTCTTCCTAGGTCTTCCGTACGTACCTTCAGGACCCTCAGAGCCTGAAGTTCCAGCACCGGGTCAGCCCTCTGAACCTGAGCATGGCCCCAGCCCTGGACAGGACACCTTTTGCCAGGGCAAAGCTGATGGGCTCTACCCTAACCCCGGGCAACGGTCTAGCTACTACAGCTGTGCAGGGGGCCGGCTGTTCCAGCAGAGTTGCCCAACAGGCCTGGTGTTCAGCTCCTCCTGCAAATGCTGTACTTGGAGTTGAGTCCCCAAGGCTCCTCCAGCCCCAGCCCCGAGGCGGGGCCTGGGTCGCTCCCCAGCAGGCCTCCCCCACTTTCCCTGGGGCTGCCAGTCTGGATCTTCTCTGCAGTCTTTCCATATCCCGGCTTTCTGCTCTCTGCCTTGCCTTCCTTTTTTCTGGGTCTCCTGGGCTGCCTTTTTCATTTGCAAAATAAATCTTTGTTTTGTACCACTCTGGCAGCTGTGATGACTTAAGAGGTTCTCTAAGCTTGTACGTTTGGCTCCAAAACTACCCTGGGGAACTGAGGGGGGTGGGCCTGGCATAAGACATGCACAGGTCAGAACCGAGGGAAGGTGATCTGTTTAGTAGGCGCCACACCCTAGCTAGGTCTCGCCTCAGTGAGTCCACATTCCAACAGACAGCTTCCTGGGCACAGGTGAGGGCATCCGGAGCATGGCCCCGGGTGTGTGACACATTCGTTGGTCATTGGCTCAGAAGCTTTTGGATATGGGAGCTTTCCTTGCTGACCGTTACTGGGGTGTTATTCCTCAAACGCCACTAGATGGCAGCAGAGAACTATTCCCGGCCCTAAGTGCTCTGCGGGTTGCTGCTCAGCTTGACAGTAAGAATTCAGACCCCTCCCTGTTACTCAGAGCTCTCCTTGAAATAACTCCTGTCTGAGCTCTTCACCTGCCTTATCTCACCTAGTGCTCCATTCACCGGATGAGGCAGGAACAGTGATTATCCTCATTTTACAGGTATTCAAACTGAAGATTGATTTTAACCAATTCTGAGTCCAGAACCAAGGCTTGAAAGGGGCTGAGGCGGGCCAGAGAGCATGCTCACACAGAATCCTGGATAAGCGGGGGAATCTCAACGTTCCCTGCAGCTTTGGGTTGCACTTGGTCGTTCGATTTGAAGAAAATCTGCACAAAGCCTGGTGGTCCAGCCTGCCATGCACTCCAAGCTCATTTTGGTATGGGATTGGGCAGGCAGCTGGGGATGGGGAAGGTGAGAGAGGGAGGCAGTGGCCTGGCCCCGCAAAGAGGCCGCCTCCTACCCAGCACCAGACCGCCGCACCAACGCCTTCCTCACTCCTGCAGCCCGCCTGTCCACAGGCCCTCTAAAATCTGCTCTTCCTCGGTCTAGAGCGCAAACTGCTTTGGCACTGGTTTCTGTGGCTGAGGTCACAACCGGAAGGGGATGTGCCACGTCCACATCCCACTAAGAGCTCTCTAGCTGTTCAGAATGGAGTCCAGGTGGGGGGGGCGCGGCGACCGCTGGCCCGCTGCAGGCTAGCTGTGTGACTCCCGGCAGAGCAACCTTGGCTCTACTCCATCTGTTCACTCTCTAGCCAATATCATTTCCCTTACAGCACCCATTGTTGTCTGAAATGATCTTATTTGTGCATTTGCTCATTGTCAACCCCAAGGAAGCCTGGACACTAGAGAAACCCTGGTTAGGTCTCTTCATCTACTAGATAAGCACAACTCTCCCCCTGAGGGGTCAGTGAAGTAATAGATGCCTGCCCTGTGGTCAGTGATCATTCTTTTCCTCTCTTTTCTCTTCTCAGCGTCCCCCCCCCCTTTTTTTTTGAGTTGGAGTCTCACTCTATCACCCAGGCTGAAATGCAGTGGCATGCTCACGGTCACCCCAGTGTCAACCTATTGGACTCTGGTGATCCTTCCACCTCAGCCTTCCAAGTAGCTGGAACTATGGGTGCCCACTACCAT